CTGTTGCCGGCGGGGTCGGGCTCTGCGGCGCGCTCTGCAGCCCCAGGGAGGCGGGGACTTTATTTTTACCTGCCCTCCGAAATAGCGCTTGAACTGTCGGGCTGGAATGTGTATTTCTTGTGTGGTCTAGATCTTGTGCCCGATTCTCTATATTTAACATTACTTTGGTTTCTGCATGTTGGGCTGATATCGGAGACCCTAGGCTGGGTCTGATTAAATAGTCATGGCCTGAGAACTTTTTAATAAAAAGTTAGAATGTGTTCGTTTCTACAGATTGCGTAAATATTTCCACGGGTAAAAGGAATCTATTAAAACACCTCTGATGGAACGCTTTAAAACCTTCATATTGATCCTGCGTAAACCTTTATGACTGAGGTGAAAAGAAGTCTCGTTTTAAGTAGAAATAGTTACTGTTTATATAAAAGACTTATGGGTTATTTTAGTTTGCATGCTATGCTTAGGGCGCTGTTTGTGGTGCTTGATAAGATGCTGCAAGAAAAGCGGCTGCGTACACTTGTAGGGTGAGAAAGGAACGAGGAAAAAAGGATTGTTTTTAAGAAGCAACTCACCAGCGAGGGCGGATGTCAGAAACCGTTGTTCACACTTAATCTCCTTTCTCGGGAGTATGAGAAACTTCAGGCACAGGTGAATTCACAATAAAGGATTCATCAGTTTTAAAGAATATATTAACTCCTACCTGCAGAGAAAGAAAAATAACTATCAGAATTATTTGTGGTTTAAAATTTTTTTTGTCATTTGACATTGGTCAATTGAAAAGTCTGGCCAAACAAATTAGGTCTGCAGAATGATTTTTAAATGTTATTTTATGATAACTTCTGTTTTTGAAAACTGTGTTTTTGCTCACACCAAATATTTCAATTGCTTGTCTTTGTGAAGTTCGCAGAATTTTGTTCACGTGTAGTGTATATAATTTGATTTTGTTTATTTGCTGCTAGGCAAAGGATTGCTTAAGTCTTAATTTAGATGAGAATGGCCTAAATCAGGATGTCTTTGGGAAGGCCCTAATTGAGATTAGCCAAAGGGATTCTGGCCAAATCCCTGATCAAGTTGCTTGGCACAGAATTATTGATTGGCGAATCTTAAGTGTTGCTTGGTGTTGACAATTAATCTTTTACACCTGTTTTAAAAGAAAAAAGATCCACCTTTGTACTCAGGGTCACGTCCTCACTTAAATCCAAGACAAGTTCTAGTGTAGTGGTGCTCATGTGGGGATCAGAAGACAGTATTTATGCTGAAATCCTCTACCTCCTGTTCAGAAGAAGATCAGGCTTCTGTGAGCCAGAACTTGAGTTTGTTTGCCACATCTGAAAGGAAGAGCCTTGATTGCCCATTTTAAGGAAGCCCAACCCCAGATTAAAGTATGACACCTGAAGAAGAGGAGAGGCTGAGGCTAGCTGGCTGGCTTTCTTCCTCCTCCTCCTTGTTTTTTTTTTTTTTTTTTTTTTGAGACAGTGTCTTGCTATGTAGTTCGGTCTGGCCTGGAACCTGCATCCATCTCCCTGCCTCAGTCGCACAGTGCTGGGATTACAGGTGTGCACCACCAAACCTGATCTTTTGTTGGTATTTCTGAAAGGTAAGAGGGACTGGGAGAAATATATTGGTGTGCTATGTCAAAACTTTAAAATCATTAGGTTCTCCTTTTGTAGACGGAATTTGTTGCTAAAGTGGGCTGTCCTCAGTGTAGCCACTATGAATGTGGCTAGTGTGGCTGAGGAGTGAATTCAATTTAATTTTAGTTAGTACAGACTACATTTAAAAACTCGGTGATTGGAAAGCTTATAACTTTGAATCAACTTATTTTGTGAATTTTTTTTTAATACTGTGGATTGAACCAGGAGCACTTACCCACCCTTCCCGCTTTCTAAATTGTATTTTGAAAGGATCTTCTTAGGTGGCTCAAGACAGCCTTGAACTTTGGATCCTCCTTCAGCCTCCTGAATAGGTGGAATTATAGGGTGACTATGACATTCAACCTGACTGTGAATCAAAGTTTTAACTGTTTTATTAAATCTGTATGCAAACCATGTATTTCCCATGAAAATTTAGCTTTTATGTAGAGATATAGCCAGGTGTGGTGATGCATGCAAACCTGTAATCCCAGCACCTGGGAGGCTGAGGTAGGAGGATTGCTGTGACTTCAAGGCCAGCCTGGGCTACATAGTGAGTTCAAGGCCAGCCTGAACTACATAGCAAGACCTTGTCTACAAACAAACAAAAAAACCTAAATTGTGATGTACTGTAAAGTGTAAATATACAACAGAAATACAGCCTTTCAGAAAAACTGTAAAATATCTTTTTTATATTGATTACATTGAAATGAAAATATTTTAGACATTTGGCTAAATAAGATGTTTTAATGTTAATTTCAGTTTTTTTAAAAAACTCTGACCACTAGAGAATTCAGTGCTACGTTTGTGGCTCTCACATTGTGTTTCTTGCTACTGTTGGTCCTACATAGGTTGTCAGCACAATTTTTGAGTATGTTGCTATATTTTCTCAATAATACCCGCATGAAGTTGGCCCAGTATAATCTTGTTTTTGTTAAGACCATTTTGAATATGTTAATTTTTTCCTCTTTTTAGAAACCGCTTAAGTATACCAAAAAAATGTAAAACTTGTAGAAACAAGTCTCATACTGTTTACCCATATTTACCATTAATATTTCCCATATTCAGAGTTTGTTTTCACAGGCTGGGTGGTGTATAGCTTAGTGGTAAAGCACTTACCTTATGGGTGATAGGCCCTTGGTTCACCTCTGAGCGCTAAAAAATATATTTTTATTACAGCATTTTTGCTGACCTGTTTGAAAGTAAGTTGTGTACACTGTCCCCTTTCCCTCTGAAATGCTTAGTGTGTATTTCTTAAGAATCGAGGACATTGTCTATATAACCTTAGTAACAGTTACCGACTGAAGGAAAGTTAATCAGTTGATACAAACGTGTCCTTTAAAGCATTTGAAAACAGGCTAATTTTGAAGACCAAAGGAGTTTTTTAATTCATGGCAGTAATATGTGAGATAAATATTTTTTTCTAAATATAAAAATTGGGTTTTGGTGGGGGTTTTTTTTTTTTTTTTTTTTTTTTTTTGGTTTCAGTCTCACTATGTAGTTAAGGTTGACCTTCAACTCACAGTGTAGCCCAAGCTGGCCTCAAAGTCTTTGACAAGGCTCCTGCCTCAGCCTCTGGAGTGCTGGGATTACAGCTGTGCGCCACCGTGCGCAGCTTTAAAAATCAGATTTTTAACTTAGCTGATATTACTTTGACTTTGGAAAAATCAAAACATAACATTTCGAACTTCTTTATGCTATTCACCCTTACTAAATTCTCAGACTTTGTCATTTTGTTTTTAAAATTACAAGAAAAATCATATAGGTAATACATACTGCTCATTAAAAAAAAACAAAAAACTTTAAAAGTACAGTTAGACAATTAAGTGAAAAAATAACCTAAAATCACATGCGGGGGAACCTCACTGTAAACATTTTGCTGTGTATATTCTAGCAGTGGTAGTGAGCCTGTGGCACCCTTCTGCAGCGGGCTAGGACATCACTGTCCTAGATTTATCATGTACAAAAATCTTGTTAAGGGCCAGGAATTAAGCTCAGTGGCGCCATGCCTACCTTACAAACACAAGGCCCTGAGTTCCATTCCTGGAGTGTGGGGGGGGTCTTTCTAAAATGGCACCTATTGCACATTGAAGCTGCTACCTAACAATTATTATTTTGAATTGTCTCAAAATGAACTACTGAAAAAATGCTCTGTGACAAAAAGTGGAGGCAACTTTTTTTTTTTTGGTACTAGGGATCGAACTTGGGCTCTTGTGCTTGGGAGGCAGACAGCAAAATCACTGAGCCAAATCCCTGACCTGAGGCAAATTTTTGTGCAGTAATTGTGGTTGCTGTGGAGAGTCAGTTGAGATTTCTAAATCATCTGTAATTCAATTTTCATGATTTGTTTTTTAGTGAGATAAACTACATTACCTTGAAGCTTAATTAAATTTAGTATACTGTACTTTGATTTATGGCCTAACATGGAGAGTAGACCATGTAGGTGCATTCAGATAGAAATGGGTTCCAGTTCTTTCATTTGATACAGCTAATAATTACTTTAAGGGAAATTTTCTTGCAGAAACATCATAAAGTATATTATTATTGTTGTTGTTATTGTTGTGTTAACTATTAGGGGTTGTGCTAGGGATTGATACCAGAGCTACCTCTATCCCAAGTCATTTATCTTTTAATGAAGTCTTTTGAAACACCTAATCTGTTTTTTAAATATGAGGGCTAG